ATACAAGAGGCTGGGATTATCCCAAGATCTCAGGAAGATACGTGCATTGGGTTAAACGACTCTAATCCACCATATTTTCCAGAGACTAACATCTATTTGATGTCATATATAAGCAGAATGAGACAAAAAAGAAGTCCCAGCAATATGACTAAAACAAGGGGAAACAAAAAGAACATCAAGTTTATGATAAAGTGGGGAAGAAGTTGTATCAACCATTAGTTATATATCTAAAACCCATTAGATGAAGAAATATGGATAAAAAGGGGGAAATGATCTACTATTACATTCTGAGGACTCTAGATTCAAACATTCATACCTCATTCTAGCTCAAATATGTCTGTTACATGGACCCAAAAAATTCCCACTCTAAATATCTGCCTTACCAAAATGTTCACTTTTCAATCAACTTTGTGAGGTGAAAGAAATCAGTTTCAAGTGAACCACTTCATCCCAGTGGTTACTAAGTACAATGATATTTGTAACAGAAATGTTGTGAATTACTTAAATATAAATTTGCATTAAATAGCCCTCTCCTTTAAATTTCTAAAATAATCCCAAAATAATTACTTTAATATGTTGATTTGAGAACAATGTTAGGATGGCACTATTAATTGAGTGACTCCATTTAAAAGAAATACAGGGGAAAATTATTATAAAACAATTAAAAACAGAATGATGGAAAGCCCAAGGCAAGCATGGAAATTTGGACTACCATAACAAAACCACTGTTATGTCAGTGACAGGGGTAGTTTTTGAAAAACAAATGTTCATTTGCTAATTTCAATCCTCATTATAAAAAGCACCTTGCTGTTCACCAATTGGATCTTTACAAAGGTTGTATCACCTCTGCATGGAATGCCTACCAGAGTTTCCACGTACTACTCTTTTATTTTTTGGAATTTTTATCAAAATAGAAACAATTGGCAAGTCTGTATTCAAATCTTCCCCAGAAAAGCCCTGACAAGTACTGTAACATCATGGTGAAATTTATTTCTAGGTCTGGTGTATGAGAAATAAAATCAATTAGATACTATCTCACTTATGCTTAAGTCCTATCGCAAAATGGAGGTGGGGTGTGTGATTGAATAGTAATAATATATTGGGCCATCAGGATGTTTGAGAAATGACTCTGTAAGAGTCTCAATTAACAGTCTTAAGAGACATTTAAGATACATCAAAATAAAAAGCTGCACAGCAAAAGAAACAATCAACAAAACTAAAAGGCAACCTACAAAATGGGAGAAGATATTTGCAGATGACATATCTGATAAATTGTTAGTATCCAAAAGATATAAAGAACTTATAAAACTCAAAACCCAAAAAATAAATAATCTAATTTAAAAAATGGGCAGAGGACCTGAGTAGACATTTTTCCAAAGAAGACATCCAGATGACTAACAGATACATGAAAAGATGTTCATCATTACTTACCATCAGGAGTTGCAAATCAAAACCACAGTGAGATACCACCTCACACCTGTCAGAATGGCTAAAATCAACAACACAAAAAACAACAGGTGTTGGAGAGAACATAGGGGAAAGGGAACATGGGTGTACTGTTGGTGGAAATGCAAACTAGTGGAACCACTGTGGAAAACAGTATGGGGGTTCCTTAAAAAGTTAAAAATAGAACTGCTCTACCATCCAACAATCATACTACTGGGTATTTACCCTAATTCAAAGGAATACATGCACCCCCATGTTTATAGCAGCCTTATTTACAATAGCCAAGACATGGAAACAGTCCAAGTGTCCATCGATTGATGAATGGATAAAGAAGCTGTGGTATATATACAATGGAATATCATTCAGCCAAAGAAAATAATGAAATCTTGCCATTTGCAATGACATGGATGAGGCTAGCAAGTATAACACTAGGGGAAATAAGTCAGTCAGAGAAAGACAAATACCATATCATTTCACTCATGTGGAATTTAGGAAACAAAACAAATGAGCAAGGGGAAAAAAAGAGAGAGACAAACCAAGAAACAGATTCTTAACTAGAGAACAAACCAAGGGTTACCAGAGGAGAGGGGGGTGGAGGGACGGGTAAAATGGGTGATGGGGATTAAGGAGTGCACTTGTTGTGATGAGCACCAGGTGATGTATGGAATGATTGAATCACTATATTGTACACCTGAAACTAATATTATACTGTATCTTAACTAACTGGAATTAAAATAAAAACTTTAAAAAAAGAGAGCCATTTAAGAGAAGCTAAATTACTAGGTACTGGTATTCAAATATACATATGGGTTATTGCAGAAAATCTAGGAGGTAAAGGGGAGATAGCAATAAAAATGGTAAGAAAAATACTATTCCTTCCCATAAGACCACAGATTTATAAGAAAGTTGATGAACCATTTTTGATGACTAGGAATCTAGTTTTGGAATTTCTGAAAAAATTAATCTGAAATGTTGCTGGCTCTTACAAAATATGTTTGATAAAAGAAGAAAAGTATCACCCAAAGACATGGTCAACTCAAAGTCTTACCAACACCAACTGGTAAATATGGGGAAGTTTTAATTTACCACTTAAAACTATACAAGCAAATAAACCTGAAGGAACTGAATCAGTTCAAAAAGGATCAAGCTTCCAAAAGTACTGAAGAAAAGCATTAACTATGTCAATTTTCCAGGGGCTTGATAAATCAGAATTGAGTCACCATTATTTTGTATACAACCAACATCATCTACAGGATTCCAAAGACTATGAGCCTAATGCAGAAAATGGCATCTTGCTGGCTGGAAAGGAGTCATCAGCTGTCATCACCAACGTAACCAAAATGTAGGAATAAAAATATATAGGAGAGTCCTCAAAAATAAAACTGCTCTTCTTGTCATCCAGAGATAAAATAAAGCCTATTTTAATTTAGATGGAATGTCCTTGTTCTTCAAGTATTAGGTTCTCTTCATGTCCTAAGACAACTTCTAGTTTTTTAAACTGTGGGTCATGACTCAGTGTGAGTCTTGAAATGAATTTAGTAGGTTTATCATCAGCATTTAAAAAGAACACAAAAATATGGAATAGAATAAAAATCAGAGAATATACACATGGTAATAAAACTTTTAAGTGAGAGAGAGAGAGACAGACAGAGACAGAGAGAGAGAGAAAGTGTACATGTGCATTTGAGGGTTATAATATGTGGGGAGTTAAGGGATGCAAAAGGTCCCTTTGCCTCTAAATGTCTTTTTCTCAGTTCCATCACAGTGTCTGAAATTAAAGAAGATGTATTTCTCTACATCATGAAGATTTGGCTTGGCTACCATAAAAATCAGTAAGAAGATTTGTGAATATACCCTTTTATGTAGGCTCTTCAGCTTCTATTGGCCAGTATTTCACCGACACCACAGAAAACAGTCTTTCTTAGGGCCTTTAATTTTCACACCAGTTACAAATTTCCTGAGAATTCACAGTCAGTCCATCCTAGGAAGTGAAAAGGATCTCGAGAAATACTTAGACCAATGATCCTTAAACCTCATTATACATCAGAATCACTGGGGATGGTGAAAAAAAGTATAGATGCCTGGGTCATACCCCCCCAAAGACTGAGTTTCAGCTGGTTTAGAGAAGGGGCCCAGGCATTTTTAAATAAACCTCCTGAGTTGATTCTCCTGCAGAGTTGGGAGTCAAGTCTTACCACCCATATGATTCTTAAATCCACCTCATTATATACTGAATAAGTGTTTTGTTCTATTGTTAAATAGTTATAATCATAATTATCTTCTTACTTAAATTGAGCAGGAATCTGTCTCCCTTTAGAATCAACCCCATGTGTCATTTTTTTCTACCTCGTCCTTCCCCCAGTACCCCCAATCAATATGAGTGGATGACAGGTCAACTTCCTCTGCCATCTGTCAGTTCTCAGTATCAGCACACACAGGCAAACACATCACAAGACATAGAACATAGTAATAGTAACACTTATTAGATGTTTGTGGTCAATAATATTATTGTTATCACTGTTACAAATAGGGAACAAAGCAAAGCAAAGATAAATATTAACAGCAAAATCACCAAAGCAATTTTGCCCAGACCAATGTCTAGAACACACTACTTCACAAAGTTGTACAGTAAATAGTATGAATTGATAATCTGGATAAAGGCAAGATGTTTGTTTTTGTGTTTCCCTTACTTTTCACTTCCTTTAGTGCCTTATAGACAAGAGAGTAACCAATGCAAGAAAAGTGTCACAGGTGTGTTCAGGTGAGTTTTGGTAAAAAGGCCCCTTTGTTCAGATTTAAAACAATAGCATTCTGGGTTATGGAAGAACTCTCCTTTGGCATTCAAAAGCTCCCCCACAAAGTGAAAAATAAGTCTCCAATAATACCTCTTCTTAAAAGAAGTTTGAATAAAATTATGTAGTTTAGTCCTTACAGAAGAAACAAAAAGGAAAAGGTGAGTTGGGAAAAAAATAACTTCTGGGAATATATTTTTACCTCTGTCTCTATACCACTGATAAACCTTAACCCTTCTTTGACTCAGCTTATCCACTCAGAAAGCCATGGAACATCACGGTACTTTAAGAGATACATACTTGGATTAACACGTTATGCTCTCAGGCTTGGTATCATGGCTAGACTCCTGTGAACCCTATATAAAGGGTGATTATTTATCCTATAGATCATGTTGCACTGAATAATGAGTTAAGCTAGATTTATCTGAACTCTAAAATAAACAATCATAAAAATGACAATAGCCCAGCCAGTTTTCTTGTTGCTGTTACTTAGGAAATACTGGTTGAAGTACTTAAATCTTGCACTGTCTTCTTCTGTGTTATTGCCAAGATTAGTATATTAAATGACATTTTATAAATTATCTAAACCTGATGTTGTCTAATGTCATTATCTTTATCATGATTAATTGGGAAATGCACCTGTAAGTCTTAACTGTCTTGCTTAATACCATAGACAAAAATGAAACAGCATGATCTAACAAGCCTGAGGTCCAAAGAACTGCTAACCTTGTATCATTACTTTGCAGAGCTGAAAAATCGTACCTTCAACTAAGGAAGTAAGGAGCGTGACATTGGCCGCTTTCCGTCTCCCCGCTGGCAAATTCAAGCCAAGCCGATCCAGTTTCTCTCTCAGGCAGCGACCCCCATTCTTGGATTTCGCTCTGTCCGAAAACAAAAGAAAAACTAGGTTTTGAAAGTTCACATCCTGAGGGAAATGATGAGAAGACCTGACCAGATGGGGAATTCAGTGTGAGACCGAAGGCTTCAGGGCTGAGGGTGGAGGAGTATGATATCAGTACAGTTGGAAGACACGACATGCCAGGAGACAATTGTCTTACCTTCTCAAAATGCCTCCCAAGAGTGAAGCGTTGAGGCATTCAGGTGGTGAGAGGCGCCTCTTCACCTCAGCAATCGTCACCTTGTATTTGGAAGTTGAACTGAGAAGGGACAAACGGCCAGGGACAGAGCAAAACAAGTCTGTGGGGTTGACCACACAGGTGCCACCTTGAGGGAGGGGGAAAGTATATTACATATTAGTGACAGTGAGAGAAGATAATTGCACGAAAGACAGTTAACATCAAGGCACTATTTAGGATTTGGGAATACATGGCAACGAATGTTCTCATACATACGTCACCTGGATCATCTCAGAAAGCTGCTCTGAAGACATCCTTTCAAATAACAATACAGGTTTTAGCTTTCAAATATCATATAGAACATGTTTGTGGGGGTACAATTTTTTAATTTAAGCAAAAAATTATCATCCTACGTAGAGCTGGCTGGCCCATCAGTGCTAATTTTGACATCATACACACCAAAAAACACTTCAATTAATTAAAAACCCCAAACTCCACCAGTTACCCCCACAGAGGGTATGTATTATTTTTCCATGGCTCTGTATATGTGTGTGCATGTATGTGCAATAGACACAATGGATGGATATATTTTATCCATGACTTACTATATAGACAGAAGTTTTGAAAACTCTTTTCCAAATTGTTTAAAAATTGCCATCTCTTTTCTCTCATCCACCTACCAACTATAAGTACTGGAATCACTCAGTTCCCAGGTACTACCAAAAATAATCTACCCATTGTCATAAACTTTTAACCCATGTGGGTGGATGATAGGTCACATCTCTCTACCACATGTCAGCCCTCAGGATTGGCACACACAGTCAAATATAGCACAAGACTAGAACATAGTAAGAGTCACATTGTGTTAGTGGCCAATTATATTATTGTTTGGGTTGTTGTTATCATTATTACTATTAGGGAACAAAGCAAAAATAACTGCTAATAGCAAAATCACCAAAGCAATTTTGCCATGCTAGGGCTCCTGAAGCAGAAGCCTTTGGTCTCCAAGCTCCAGAAAGCCCCTTGAGCTTTGCTCTTCTCCAGGACAACAAGAGTACATTCCCTAAACTCAGGCACCTGAAGTAGACCTGAGAACCCAAGATGATAATCATTGAGGAGAGTTTCCTGCTGCCCAATCCTCCCATACTGCAAAAATCCTGAGCCAATGTCCATACTGCTAACATGGTGGCTACACAGCCCTGGCATTCAAGGCTGCCTCCTCATGCATTGAGCAAACTGAGGACAGAGCTTATGGGGTTCACTGGCAGGTTCAAATTCAAGGCTTGCTTTCCTGAGCATACATCTAATTTCTTCAACTATGGGAGATCTTAAGACTCCTCTCCATAAAAGGTCTTCTATGAGAGAAAAGAGAGAAAAGTAGGTGGAAGAAGAAAAACAAGCAGGAGAGTGTTGTCCAAAATCTTTTTACTCAAAGGGTTGTCCTCAACTGGCAACACTGGCATCTCCTGAGAGCTTGTTAGAAATGTGGGATCTCAGGCTCAACTTCAGACCTTCTGAATCAGAATCTGCATTTTAACAAGATCCCCAGGTGGTTCATGAATAGTAAAGTTTGAGAAGCCCTGGTCTAGGACTCACCACTGGCCTTCCACATAGATCCTCCTCTCCTTTACTAAGTGCTCAGGGAGAATGTTGTGTTGCTGACGTCTCTGGCATTCAGATTTGGGTGTGTTCTCTGAGCACAGTGGCTAAGGAACCTGGGAGGATGTTTAAAAAGGTGAAGAGGTCCTGGACCTGGGTTGAGAGAATAGGTTAACTTTACCCTACTCTTAAAGTGTTTCTACTCCTGTACTACCTGGAATTCTTCCAGGCTGTCTTGGAGTCATCCAAGTTTCCCCTGAAAGTACTGGGACCAACGTCTTTCTCCTTAAGCATTCTGAGGCTGGTGATCACCCTGAATGACCCCCCAAAACAGAAGAGAGGATGTTGATATCATTAGAATAGCCAGCCCTCTTTAGACTAGAAGATGAGTCCTGTACACTTGGCTAAGTTCTCAATGTGAATGTCTGGAAACTGGCCCTCAGGCTGAAATCTGAGAGGTCACAATCTCAACTGTCAAACCGAAATCCTTTTCCTGGCATTAAACTTGTGGTCAACATAGTGGAAAATCATGCAAATGTCTGCCTCAGAGCCCCAAATACAAATTCACCTGCACTTCCCCACTTTGCATCGTCACAGAGAATTTTAAAACTAATCATCATCATCATCATCATCATCATCATCATAGTTTTCCCAGATTTGGGGGCCTGGAACTATCATTATCCATTCATTAATGTTCTCCCTTTATACCTATAGATGCAAAATGCATTTTACAAATAAGCTCTTAAGTGACTTCTCAAAAACTGAGATGAACAGGATATCAATGAACCTGGCTTTTAGCATCATTTTGCAGAATCAGGACCCTGATAACTTTAGGACTTAGGTCATTGTGGGGTCATCTGAAGCAAAAATGTTAAAGAATCATAATATCCATCTTCAAAATTCACAGAGCCCTGTTCTGAAAATGGGCCTCCACCCATGGTCATGGAATCATAAGCAAATTTACATTCTTACGTAAATCCTCTTCTCTTGTACAATAGCCAACATGCAACTGAGGACACAAGGAATCTCACCCAATGGGTCTCAAATAAATGATGAGAGAAGAATGTTTGTGCATGTGTTACTTTCCCAGCAAGCCAAGGGAAAAAGGACACAGCTTTAGACCTTTCCTATATTTACTAATCTACAGTGGGTCAGAAACCTAATTTAGGGAGACACAGAAGATTATAAAAGATTTTTGTTAAAAAGAAAGGAGTTAAATCAGTCTTTCTCCAATTGGAAAATTGCCCCCTTTTGGCAAAGTGAACCCCATGTGGTGAAAGCCAGCTGCTCCCAGGGAAGTCACTGGATCTGCTACCCAGCCAAGTGCTATCTTCCTGGGCTCTGGGTCTTTCTCTCCTGCATCCAGGTGAGGCTTCTGGCTTATGCTCAAATAAGCATTTATTAGGTAAGTTACACAGGCTGCATATTAAGAGTATGCTTTATGCACACACAAACTGCCTGGAGGATTTATTTTGTATTCAGGATTAGCCATCAACTCTAGAGTCTTTTATTTTTTATGTCACAGCATCTTTAAAGGGAATTTCTGTTGCTTTGATAGTTGGCATTGCTGCAGCCTTGGGGAACTCTCTCGTCCTGGCTAAAGATTTGGCAACTTGTAGAGTTTACAGCAGCATGGGGAACCTGATCTCTTTCTTCCCAGCGGTTTATTTTGGGGGGAGGAAAAAAAGAGTAATAGGTCAACATAACCAGATTTTTGCATTTACAATGAAGGTTCAAGGAGGTGGGACTTCTTTGAGGGGATCCAGACTACAGATAGCAATGATGAGACTTCAAAGGAAAGCCATGAGAGTCAACCATGCCAAGGCATTTACAGTATTCATCCCCAGTGTTACCAGCTGAAGTTCTTCATGGTGCCTGTGTTGCATGTGGGCTCTTACTGAAATTATGTAACATTCATTCTAGATCCAGCACTCCAGTTAAAGATGCCTCTGGTGCCAGAACCAGGCTACTCATGCAGAACTTCTCTAGAGTACATCTCTTTTCCATTCATAGTGCACTGAAGTAATACTTCTATGGAGGGCACTATTTTCAAAATTGAAATTTGGAGATGGGGCTTCCCATTTCCAGTGATGCTCAAACTCAGATCTGTAGCTCTAGAAACAGCATAAGAAATCGGGGTCTATTTACTTAAGGTCACTTGTCTAGAACATGACTATCATAAAAGGGATAACTTTGCCATAGCTACAGGGAAAAGTCAGCCAAAGAAACTGTGCAGGGAACAAAACTAGGCATGAAATACACAGATGCAAATCCTTCAGCTGCCAGACCCTGTTAGATCCCATGAAGCCCAAGAAAAACGGGTCGAGCTGTGTCCTTCCTGGTGTGGCTGGAGACATCTGGCCATGTGATGGCAGGCACAGCGTAGGGGAGCGGAAAAAGTACTGGGCTGCAAGTAAGAGGTTGGCCAACTAGCGACCCATAGGACCTTTGATGAGTAACTCTGGGCCTTGGTCTGTCCATCTGAAAAATGGGGATGCTCACGCCTGCTCAACTTATTTCCCCAGCTCGTGGGAAGTGCAACGGGAAATGGACTCACACGTGCTCAGCAACCTGAGTAAAGCCCGCCCAACTCCATCACTGTGTTGGGCAACTACCACCGCCCAGGGGTGCGAGCTGTGGAGCGCCACGATATCCCCACCCACCTTTTGCGAGGCTACGGGGTAGAAAGACAAGCGCCAACGCATGAGTGCGCTTTTCCTCTTCTTATACAGGCAATTAGGGCAGAGGAAACAGCCGCGACCGTCTCCAAGGGGCTGTGGCTCTCCTGGCGCCCCCAAAGCTGCCTCTAAGCCACGCGCCCCCTCTGGGTGCCTTCCTCTCTAAGAACTGGGCGGGTGATGGCTAGAGGCCCTGCGCGCTCTCCAGGTGCGATCAATACTTCCTGGCTGGCTTCCGGGCGCGGGGCCCTTGCGCGCAGCCTCTCCGAAGCCGCAGCGCCGCCCCACTCCCCGCCGATTCGGTGTTGACATAATTAGACCAAATCTTGAGAGCAAAATAAATGTTCTGTTCGCCTTACAGCCAAACAGATGTTTACAATTCAAATGAAAGAAACACAAACGGCAGGGATTTTTTTCTCCCCTTCTTCATCTCCAGTGATCGCTCGTTTTTTCTGACACATTAAAAATGTGTAAGCGATTATAGGAGTTTCCTGTCCCTGTTTGTTCTGGCGGGTGCATTTCTGTGAGGTGCGCGTGGAAGCTGGGTGGGATAGGATCGTTCTCGGCTGCTTGCTCTCTAGCCCCTCGCCCTTCTCCATCCCAAACCCCTCGGGTAATCCCCTCTTTGCTCCTCCGCCCCCCCCCCAGCATGTATTAATTGTAATCAAACAGCAAAGGGATAGTGGTTTAATTGCAATCAAATAGGCCTCAAAGGATGCATCAGCCGCTAACTGCGCTGTTTGAGGGGAGGATATACCCTTACAGGTATAAGTGGATTACCAGGTTTGAACACGCTCCTCCGTGTGCAGATTCCAAGCAGAACAAAAGAAAGGGAGGTCTGCACGGAGAGACACAGCTTTAATGTGGCGGTGGGTGTGTAATTGTGTGTGTGTGCATGTGTGCATGTGTGTGTGTGTGAAACAATCCCCATTTCTCAATGCAGGGAGTGCTTTAGTTTTTGGTTATTTTAACAGCGATAAAGAAATTAGAGAGAAAGCAGTAGGCTACGGAAAAGGAGTTTCCCTCCCCCGCAAAAAAAAAAAAAAAAAAGATTTTTAAGAAACCATGCCTATAGATACTTTGGTATATGAATTTTAGTCTTCATATAAAGGAGATTGAATTCCGAACCTGCAGCATGTGTATTTGGGGACTAAAGAGGCGGGAGAGGTGTGTTTCTGGCTGTATTTTCAAAATGCATGAGCTATAGAGATGAGTTTTGGCGATTCTAGTAAAGAGAGATTCTGGGGGCCCTGACAAAAGTAGAGGAAGAAGCCTTCCCACCCCACTCCAATCTTACTCCTTCTGGAAGCCGCTGAAAGAGCCAGAGCCTCTTTCTAACTCGAGTTCCAAAGCTCAGGGTCCTCGCAAACTGAAAAAGCAGAAGCAGCTCCTCCTCCTGCCCAAGCAGCTGTGGGGGCTGTAGAAGGGAAGAGCGGTCAGGTCCATCCACCCAGTTATTGGCAGGCTGGGCGATTGATGCTAAACTCCGTTTCACAGAAGCATTTTTAAAAAATTAAATCAGATCTGACAATGTTTGTACCGTAGCGTAAATGCCTCCTCCTTGGCGTGCCAGTCACCTCTAAGCGATCTGACAAACTCCAGCTCTCTTAAAACGTGCAGAGTTCAGATCATATTAATTCCCCAAAAATGTTTTGATTCAAAGTAGTTTGTATTTTGTGTAGCCACGGGCAATCCGGAAAGTGCTCCTGCCTGCCCGTGGCCGGGTCCGCTCCCTCTCCGCGTGGCCCAGAGGCTATGGCGGTATTTAAGCGTCTGAAATTTGCCTGGGGCTGCAAGGCAGAGTGATCACAAAGCGAAACAAGGGCGCTTCCCCTCTTCACTTTTTTCATTTTTTTTTTCTTCCTTTTTTTTTTTTTTTTGAGTTTGCCATTGCGATTTCTCAAAAAAGACCAGGGCCAAAATGTCACTTCCCACCCAAATATGGAAAAGCTGGGTCTTCTTATCTCCTCTCCATCCTCGTCTGAAGGCCACAGCCCCCTACCCAATTGAACCCCTACCCCTGCCATTCCAATCTGGATCCATTCGTTATTAGCATCATCATCATCATCAACATTGTTCTCCTACTATTAAATTCTCAGAGAGAGAAATGAAAGGGACCAGCGCCTGACAAAGGGGAGGAGGCCATGAGGGAGCCTCAGAAGATTCATGGGGAAAAGAAGAGTGGGTTTTCCTTTCTTTTTTTAATGATTAAAAACACAGACGACTCCTGTAAATAGAAGCCTCATTTCTTCAAGAGACGCCTTTTGAAAGCCAGTATCTGAATATTCAACGAAGGCAAAGCTCCACTCTGTATGTACAACATTAATATGATCTCTGCAGAATTTGCTACTCAGAAATATTAACATATCAAAGCCGAAGCCGGAGGCGAGAGAAGCTATCGATACGCGAGCACAGGGTAAAGTAAAGATTATTGGTTCTGATGGTTGGATGGCGGAGCTGCGGGCAAAATCGCGCACACCATTAAGCGAGAGTGAGCGCGCAGAGTGAGCGCGCAGGAGCTGCACCTCCGAGGCGGTGGCAAATATTTTATCTGGGCGGTAATTACCTTGCCGCTGCCCCTCTTCCGCGCTTTCTTTGGCTACACGGCCTTCATTATAAGCAAAAACAATGTAACTGCCACTTACCGAAGTGAGTCAGAGAAATGGTATTTTGTTCTTTGCAAATAGAAATAGCCAAATTTAAAGAACTGAACGCCTTCCCCAACACCCCCCCCCAAACACACACACACACACACACACACACACACCATGCAAACAAGGACAGCCTCTCCCTGGTGAACTCATATGGGGCACGTAGAGATCTTTCTTCTAGAAGAGCACTCAGGAGTCTTTGGAAGTGAAATCTGTTTTGTTCCTCCCACAGTAAATTCTGGAAATCATTAGAAACGTAAGTTTATCAGAGAACTTACTTAGCACGGGAGGAAAAATGGCAAAAAAGTTGTGCTTTTCAAGAAATCATGTTTCCCATGGAGAGTCGCCTGTAAACATGGATTAGAAGAGAAACAGACATTCCTATCTAAGCAAAACCATTGCACAATATGGTGATATGGCAGAGTGCTTGACTTAGTGCCCTCCTGGTTTTTGATGAACAAAGGTGACATGAGCTATTTATATTAAGAATCCAGTGCACTACCATGACAAGAGAGAGAAGGGGCTTCCTTAGCTTTTCTTCAAAAACGGGGAGTCCTGAGATGAGGGGCTGGCAGTCCTGAGATGAGGGGCTGGGCAGACTCTAGCAGGATGTACAAAACCTTTTAAGCAAGACTTCCTTGCTATCCATTTGTAAATTGTTATGAACATTGATTATTTCAGAGTAACAGACATACACTTGGTCTCCTGGGCTCAACCAAGTTAATTGGCCTTTCTCTAAGACATGTGGAAATGGAATAAACTCAGCAGCTAAATTCTGAATTCCTTCGCAGGGGGTGGCGGGGTGGGGGGGAAGGGGAGGACTGGGATTTAGTCAAACAATACAGATAGAAGCCCCAAGTTACCACCCCTTTCTCTTTGGAGCTATGCTGTTCTCCTAAAAGATCAATATTTGGTTTAAAAATCACAGGCTCCACGCTGATTTTCAGGTGAAACGAAGTGACACCAAATTCTACAAGAACAATAAAACATCACCTAAGGAAGACCATTTCTGTGGCTCTAATAGGACAGGACGGCAGTTCCCATTTTGTAGTTACCCAAGAGCGTAGGCCTTTCTTGGGGAATGCTGAGCGGGTGTCCCCTAAATCTCTCTCCAAAAACTTCAACTGATTACACAGCCACCTCCCTGCCAGCTCCCGCCCTCGGTCTCAAATAATTCCCACCCTCTGCCAGCTACTGTAAGATCTGATGCAATTTCCAAGCATTTGAGAAGGTGATCTTGGAGCAAGTGCGGAACTGAACGCGTCGACCGCAGTAGCGCCAGTCGCGCTCTGGGAGGAGCCGGCTCTGGGCGCTAATTAGTGGCGCTGTCCTTCAGCACCACCGAAATCTCCGTGCGCCCCGAGTACTCAGTCTCACCTTTAGCGTGACCGCCCCAACAGACCCGGATCACACCTGACCCCTCTTTCACCAGGCATTTTAACCCCTCCCTTCAACAGTATGTGTATTTATTTCAATTTTCCTTAGTCTTGGGCCTATTTCATGTCACTTCAACATGGCTGAATATTAGCTTGGCTGACAAGCCTAATATTACTCATTTAAAAAAATCCTTATGTAGCAACACTAATGGTTTTTTTTGAAAAAATAGTTTCAAATCTCCATGGAGCCGAATAGTTGTTTTACATTTAGTGGAAGTTCCAAGTATCCACTATGACAATCGTCAAGTTCCAAAAGAGAGGCAATCTTTGTTTTCTTTACTCCTCAATTTAAATGGAATTTCACATTGAACACTGGGTTGTAAAACCTGAAGTTTAAACATGAAAGAATCCATTGCTTTCTTTGGAAAAGCACTGGAATCTTTCAATAAGCTTTGAAAAGGATGGACAGGGACTGAAGGACATTTATTTGGTTCCATCAGAAAAGTGACTCAGTCTTTAGTAGTTCAGTTACTGAACACAACTGCGGCCCTCAAGCTGGAATTAGTCCTGGTGAATAGGCTACATCTTATTAATTCGTATGAAGTTGGGATAACAGCTGGTCCCCTTGCCTGTGTGCTCCTCGGGTTACTCAGCTTTGCTAGGAAAATAAGCTTCAGAGGCTCTGGGTACAGTTAACTGGGGAAGCTAGCAAAATCTGCACTGCCTTGAGGCCCTTAAAATGTCATAGTTCAAAACCTTTTGTCAAAATGGAACATCTGAGATGCAGCCCCTTTCAGTGTCTGAGCCAAAATCACCAGCTCTCGACTCTTGCCTTCCCCCCACCTTCCAATTCCATGGGTAACTCTGGATTCAGATGTTTTCCTCAACAGATGGGAACAAGAAAGCTTTATCCGGTACAGTTAACACCACCTCCTCCTCCCACCTCCCTTAAAGAAAGAAATGTTCTGGACACTTAGAAAAATAAGGGCAGCTACAATATTGGTGTTTCATTAGCCTTCCCTGAAGCCTCAACGAATCTAGTCTTTCATAGAATCCTTCAAAGCCTCAAGCTAACACCATCACCTCAATCACCCAGGCTGTGGCTGGCACATTCAGGGCTAAAAGAGACCAGAAATTCTGCTTGAGGATGTGGTGATGGGGAAAGGAGGTGTGACAAGGATTTTATCCCTTTCTTTTCTTTTTTCTTTTTCTCCTCCCCCCCAACTTTTATTCGGTCACTATTCCATGAAGAACAGCAAATCTCTTCTATCATAGTTCTTTGGGGCACAGGCTGGGTTCAAGCCTCAGTGAAGGAAAGGAGTATGCCTGTGTAAGACAAAAGTAATCAAGCAAGAGTAATTGTTTTCTTAATCATCAGACAAGGAATCTGATACTTAAAACACCACCAGATCTTCAAAACAAAGTATCAGATGAGAGAAGAATGTTTTGTTTTAACATGTCACTTACCTCTTCTTATCACTCCACCTTGACCATTGAGAACAAGCCCACACTGGGCTTCCACAGAGCCCTTAATAAAAGAAAAATAAGTAAAATCACTCAAATAGATTCTAATAGGTATGACCACATGAGTTAAGTCTTTCAATCTGCCCCACTCCTGAACCCCATATCCCCATAGTAGACATTTAAAAGCAACCATTGAGCTGGAGCAAGTTTGGCAGCACACATGATTTTAAGGAAAAAAAGTGCCAGAAAAACCACAATCTAAAAGTTGTATAAATCTTAAGGTATGCATTTTGCAGCACCACACAATATTACACTTCAAAGCACCTGAGTGCCTTTCATCTTGGCATAAGGGAATGAGAAGCCCTTTGAGTACCCATCAAGGCACATAGCATATATACAGACAGTCTCCACGGCACTTTCTGCGTGGAGTAAATTACACTCAAAGTGTCAAGTCTGGCACTGTGGGTTTCTGGGAGCTCAGAGGAGCCATTACAAGTGCAGCCTTCAAGATATCTGATGTTGGTTCTGCTTTACCACGGAAGTAGGAGTATCCTACCCAAAATATGCCTTAGAGGGGAAACACCTTCAGGTTCACTCACTGTAGATCTTCATGCTCCTAATGGATTGAGGGATCATTTGAGCTGGGAAGAAGGAAAGGGTTTGCTGATTTTTGATTAAGAAAAATAAAAATTTCTCTCTCTGTCCTTTTTTCCCCCTGAGTTGAAATGTGTTAAAGGCTCATTTTCCTTTACAAACAAACGAGGTATTGGACATGAAAGAGGCCTTGAAGGGTGTTAACCTACCCAACAGCCCGTGAAGAGTTAAGTAAATGCGGAGAGAGTCGATGCATAATAAAAACCCACTTTACAAAACAACCTTTACAGCCCTGGCTCCCTCTCGCTTCCCCATTTTCACCATATTGAGGCAGGCCTGTAAGACCCCCCTTTTCAACCTACTCACGAGCTCTTTCTTATTTTAAATGTTCTGCCTTAAAGTGATTATCAAATCAATATGAAAAAAAAAACTTGGAGACTGAGCATAAATTAAAGCGGTGATGGGAAAAGGTGTGACAGTTTCCTTTGTTGGCCATAGCAAATCTTTTTAGGGGACTCAAAGATGGAACTGAAGCCACAAGACTGTTTGCATCTGTTAGGCAGACTTAGACCGCCCTGCAAACCATTGGACTTTCACTTAAAATTCTGTGCAGGGAAAAGTATATTTACATTTGTTGCATTTGAAATGAGGCATATGCTGATGAATGTTTTAAAAAGGAAGAAATAAAAGGAGAGAGACGGATTTCTCCCACACATCCCCTCCCTATTTCTCTTTTTAAAAGTAGCTATTACTTTTTTCTCTTTCTTTTTCATTCTGCCAGCTAAGTCCAGGAGGAGTGCAAGAAAATAACTTGCCAGATTTACAATATATCTTCATATATATATATATATATATATATATATAGTGTATATATATATACACACACAATGATATGTACATATATAGATATGTCTCTAGACATAGATACATAAATATATCACATATCATACTCCTCAATTTCTTCTAGGATCTTGGAGTGTTTCTCTCGGTATGAATATTCCCTCAGTATGAGCAATAAACTAAAAAAATACTATAAATATAAAAAAGACATAGACTGAAAAAAAAGGTCTCAAAATATCTGAAATGTAGAAGGTAAAGGGTCTCGAAGTTCTCCAAGGGAGCGAACCACTCTCCCTCCCATTCTCTGGCGCACTGTTAAGATGTTTATTTTCTTAGAAGAAACGAATCTTGGTCTCTACACTTAACAAACTTTTCCCCCTCATAAGTAAAACATGTTGTTTGGTCGGATGACATTGCATAAATGACCAGTTGAATGGCACTAAGTCGAAAATTGGATAAACTACGGTGTTCTTTTTCACGGGATTCGCTCTTTGTCTGGTGCTTGCAAATGTTCTAATCCCCTCTTTTGAAAAATGCCCGGCTTTGTGCCTAGCACAGAAAAAAAATTTGTACAGATACAAAAAAATCAGCAGCAGACGTGGCTATTAAAAGGAGTAAATAGGTTTTAGTTGAGCTAAGCATTGAATGGCAGATTTTTTCCCCCTTGAGACATAAGGGGATCCTTGTGAAAAATGTAAAAATGTTCTGAGCGTATAAAATTATTTTGTGAATGTAAATGTAGAAAGTCAAGGTTTATGGAGCCAAATCTTTTTTCTTGTGTGCCGATCTTGCGCCCACGGCTCTTTGTTGGGACTGTAAGGGCTTTCACTTTAATTTTAAAATAATCCCTTGCTCGGAGGTAAATGAGGGGCAAAGATTTTCTGTGCGCAACAAGGGATCTCTTACGTCTCCAACCTGTGCTCTTGGAGTATCTTCCCTTTCGTTATGGAGGCTGTGGAGAGGGTAGCCAGCTTTGTGCGGACTGAAAAAGTGGGGACTCAGCTACAGTTGTCCTTTCAGCCAAAAGAAGCTACAAATTCATGTCTTTTGAGTTCTTTTTTGGATATTTGTGGGTTTATTTGTTTGAAATGTGGCTGTGACAATATGTTTGCAAAATTATAAATTCTATTGTTGGCAAAGAATGTGCAAAAATACATTAAGAAAGAAAGTAGGAGAGAGATCCTCTGATTGATGGCCTCCATAGTATCTGGATTCCTTCCTTCCTTCCTTCCTTCCTTCCTTCCTTCCTTCCTTCCTTCCTTCTTCTCTCCTTTTGCTCACTCCCTCATCCCTCCTTTCCTTTTCTCCTTTCTTCTTCCCTTCTTATTTCTTTCCCCTTTCCCCTTCCTTTATTTCTTCATTTCCTTCTTTTAAAGAAGTTGCATCTTGTGTAAAAGTTAATAACCTGGTGAGAAAAATAAAGTTGTGAATTACTCAGCTGGGTGGTGGGATTGGGTGCTCCTTAGAATTAGGCTCAACTCCACAACCTGGTGAAGTGCATTGTGCAGATTCTTTGATTGGTGTAAATTTTTGAGACTTTCATTTGCAATTCTTTACTATCCGCAGCAATCTAGTATATTCGGGGAAACTTTTGCTAGAGCTCAACAAAGTTACAGAACAAACCAGCCCCCCAATTCTTAGTAAGTTTCCACAAGCTCAGTCTGGGACAAGCACCTGGGACAGGTGGGTAGACCCAGTAAAACGCAGAGACTGAGGGTGCGATTGGTCATCATCTAATCGGGTCTTACTCTGAGTCCAGTTGGCTCAACCCAGCCTCCATGATCTCCTCCACCCCATCCCTTCAGGGACAGAAATGAGGATTCACAACTGACTTCTGTGCAGACCGACTGAAAGTGGGGCCCGCAGGTAGCCAGACTCCCCGGGGACCAGGTGAAATGCCTTGATCCAATGAGAGTGACAGAATGGCACACGCCTCCTCTAATTGTTTTGATAACGTTCCATAATAAGTGGTGTGTGTGTGTGAGAGAGAGAGAGAGAGAAAGACAGAGACAGAGACAGAGAGAGACAGAGAGAAGAGGAGAGGCGAGGCGAGGAGAGGCGAGGAGAGGAGAGGCGAAGAGAGGAGAGGCGAGGAGAGGAGGTTTACAGTTAGAGCTTTAATCGAGCGGGAGGGGGAGGGCAAAGAGGGGAGGGCGCAGACAAATTCGCTGCATGCTTATTTACCTGCAAGTCGTCTGCTCCCGCGGCGGCCAGCCCCAGGCTGGGCCCTGGCAGGAGTCTTTGATCTGGGTGCATTCCATACTGAGAGCCATGGCTCATGAGGGACAGGTCGTGGCGGCGGTAGGCATCGAGGCAGCCCAGCTCCCGCCTCTGCTCGTCCAGGCAGGACGACTTGAGCGCCCGCGCATTGTGCAGGTTAATAAAGTCGGTGGGCTCCCCGTGGTGAATCTGCTGGTAGTACTGTTGCGAGTGGTGGAGCGAGTTCAGAGAGTAGGCGTCGGGGGTGACGGCCGGGTGGCTGTGCTGAAACTCGTAATGGAAGGACTGGTGGTGGAGCGGGGTGTACTGGTGGTTAGTGGAGAAGTAGGGGGACGCAAACTCGGTGCCGGTGGTGGAGTAAGTTAAAGGAGAGGAGGAGGAATAGGCGACGGTGGAATTGGCTACGGACTCCAGACAGCCAAGCTGCATCAAACGGTAGCTGTTTGATCCGTCGTGACGTATCTGGAAGGAAGAGGGGGAAAAGGGAGAGCAGAAAAACTTGAGGTTTGTCATTTTGCAACCGAGGCGCCGCTCTCCCGGAGCCAGGAGCTTTCTCTGGCTCTCCAAGGAGGGTGAGCACGCAGGGCTGGGGCCGAGCTGCAGCCCCGGCTCAGCGCCTTTGCCAGAGAGACTTTGCGAGCAGGCGAACTGGGGGTGGGCGGCCTCGTCCTCACAGTCGAGAGGGCGGAAAAAAAATCCCCCACCCTATATAGGTGCGGGTGACACACCACACCACACACACACACACACACACACACACACACACACAGCCCCTGCCTAACTTGCACGGGGAGCTGGGCGCCGGGAGCCAGGTTTACGACCGACTCCGGGGCGGCGGGGAGCAGAACCAGAGTCCACACGCACAAAGCGCGGGCCGGCGTCTCGCCACCGCCACCAGGTCCCAACACCGGGATTCCGCGGTTGTCCATGCCAAGCTGCTCCGCCAGAGCGGCTCAAAATCATTATCCATATATTTACAAAATCCAGTCTGTGCAAATCGTTCAACTCGCTCATTTCCTGAACCACTTGAGGCAAGGAATCCGACCCCCCTTTCTGCTTCACTTTCCTAGAATAAGCCCATTCCAAAAGGGGTGCGTTGTTCCCCCACCCTCCTCGTCCACCTACCGCCCCCCCATCAATCTCTTTACTTCGCCTTTCTGAGTGTCTTTTTTCCATCTCTATCTCTTTCTCCTCACCCCCCTCCTCCCTTTCTTTATTATTAGGATTATGTTTTCCCCCTCATTATGGCAAATGTTTCTTAACGTGGCAGAGAGTTGCCCTTCCTGGCGACAGATGTCATAACGAACTTTCTCCCCTTTCCTTCCCTAACTTCCCCCGAAAGCCAGATTATAATTAAACGTAACGGTCCAATATAGATTAGAGACAGGGAGAGCTGCCGCCGCGCCCGCCGCGGCCGCCACACACACGCGCGCTCAAAAAAAAAAAAAAAAAAAAAAAAAAAAAAAAAAAAAAGAAAGAATACCTCGGCATCGTGGACTAGTCCCGGAAAGGTAGTTGACATGTTGGGTTTCTCCGAAAGCTTACGATGCAATTTCCCCCTCCAAAAAAAGAA